TCCTGCACCCCAGCCCAGAGCCGGCGCTAAAATTGCCAGAGCCCGCACCCCAACCCCCGCCCCCACCCAAACTCCCTCCCAGAGCCTTAGGCAAGTAGGGGCAGGGTCTTGGATCCATTCTGGGCACCACCAAAAATCCTGCAAATCTGCTGCCCCTGCTGACAGGGCCCGAGCCAGCAGCGCTCTGCAGTGCGTGCCCCAACGTCGGCGCTTGACGCGCGGCCCGGGCTCCGCTGCTTTGAGGGGACGGGGTCTACATGGGCGTTTTCCAAGCTGCAAAGGGATTTTCCCAGAGCCAGGGCAGGAGAGTGCACGACATCGCAGGGGGGTTGGCGAGAGTTCTCCAGACACCTGACGTGCTCCCAGAGGCAAAGACACCGAGAGCCGGCAAACCCCATCGTAACCGTAACTCTGGTGGTGCGGGGTGTAGGCTTGCCAGATACTTTCACAAAAAATTCCAAACACGGCAGGGGAAAAAAATTAGTTGGGGAGGGGGGTTGGCGAGAATCATGGGACCCAAACTTGAACAAATAAAAAGTTGCTGCACCTTTAACTCCCCGCTCCCCCCGCCGCCAGTATTTTCTGCTTTGTTTTTTTGGGGGGGTTTTATATATACTGGACAGGGGCCACAAAATACCAGACTGTCCGGGCGAAAACTGGACATCTGGCAACCCTAGCCAGGTGTAAGGCTGTGAATTCCAAAAGCACAGAAAGGAGATTTGCTAGGTTCTGCTCTTGCATCTGCCCCGGACTCCTCCTCTGGCAGGGGCATGTCACTTGTACAGGACGGATACGCCACATTTCTCATCCCATCTCCTCATCCCTGCAATCAGACGACCACTGCCCCACCCCCCTGCATCACGGGGGTGTTCTGCTGATTAGTATGTCAGCCTTTGCCAAATGCCCGTCGCACAGAAAGCACTAAGTGGAAATTAAGGAGGCTACCAACTGTGTTATTAGCAATTTCACCCTAAATCAGAAAGTTAAGTGAATAAAACATTGCATCTCTCCGACACACGCACACAAAGTTGTAAGGCTGTCTACCGATCCTGTTAGGAAATGTAAAAACAAGACTTTTGATTTGCAGTTACTCACCGTTTTATTTTTCTTCTCTCCCTCCCAGCAGACCATGTGGAAATTCTGAACAGTAAAATTATGGAGTACCAGGACTTCTCGGTGGGAAGCTGCACATGGCCTTTCTGTATATATGCCCTCTTCCCTCATTTCTTCCTTGACCACCTCTACAGTAAGCCTGTTGCAGCCTACATGTTAACCAAAAACTGATCAATGGGAATGTCAAAAAAAAAAAAAAGCACTATAGAAACAATTAACAAACAGCGCTCTTATATGAGATATACAAGTAGAAAATTATAATAGACTTTTATAACACATTACTTTAACACACTTAATCATTTTATGATTACCATCAGAAGTGCATCTGCACAGTGGACTGTTGGTTTACTGTATACTATCGATGGATAAATGTTTGTCTTGTTTTTAAAGTGTTATCTTACTGTTTTGTTTACATCATAGTCTATTGATTTGTTTAAAAGTGTACCACATTATCAAGTATACTCAATACCATTTTTTTCATTATTGTTATGTCTTAAGTTTTCATATAATGTAGTTTTCTGGGTTTGGGGGGGGTATTTTTGTTTTGGGAGTTGTTTGGGGTTTTTTTTTTTTTTTTAACTAAAAATGTTACAGTGGGAAACAGGAATTATGTGCTTGAAAAACACGACACAAGAATGTTCTTTCCTTTTCTATACGTGGCTCTCATCTGCTGACATTGCTTCTTTTAAATGGCTCCTTTTAAGATCCAGAATTTGCCTTCCTGTAGAGTCTTAGATTTTGAATCCCAAAAGTTATGAAGGGACCGCTGTCACATTAGAACAGCCTCGGGGTTTTACAAAGTGGGCTGAGTCTGGCTGCCTGGCGTAATAAACAAAAACCATCCACAGTAAAAAGGTAGATATTAGCTGAAGGGGGAGATTTATTCAGAAAGCCTCAGAAAACAAGGGCTCTCCAGTTTTGCTGCCCATTCCAGTGCCATTCTTAGCTGCAAATGGCACCATTTTCCTTGCTGTTTAAGTGGTGCCATTAAAAAAACCTACCCATAACACAGATGGGTAAAGCGATGAGACAGACTTAGCGGGGTAAAGAAATCCCTCCCCTCCCCCGAGACGAATGCACAGCTATTGTCACCCTTGAGACCAAGAGGCGTAAGCCCAGAATAGGTAATTTTCATTAAAATGACCCCTCCCCATTCTTTGCCAAGGGATGACAGTGCCCACCTAGTTGTTCTAAAACCTACCCATAACACAGATGGGTAAAGCGATGAGACAGACTTAGCGGGGTAAAGAAATCCCTCCCCTCCCCCGAGACGAATGCACAGCTATTGTCACCCTTGAGACCAAGAGGCGTAAGCCCAGAATAGGTAATTTTCATTAAAATGACCCCTCCCCATTCTTTGCCAAGGGATGACAGTGCCCACCTAGTTGTTCTT